AAAAAGAAGCAGCGGAAGCAACTGCCGATCACAATGTTTTTTGCAGCCTCGCAAAAAAGAGCCGGTTCTTGCTACTACTACGGATACACTTTCGGAAACCGTGGAAGAGGCGCCCCAAGAAATGGCACCACCCTCTGAAGATACGTAAAATCAATCATCGGCTGGGCAGTAAAAGGCATCATCATCATTTTACTGCGCATAAATATGGTGTCACTACTTCGCGGAAATTCAGTTCTCACAGCAGGCTTTGGAACCTATCTACCGCGATAAACGAGGGACCACTAAAGGTTTGTGACGAACTCGGCAGCTTCTTCGGCATCAGAGCTCACGGCTTAGCCATGCCTTACGACTGAATGGATGCCAGTCCTCGGTTGAGCACTCCTAAGATAGATATTTCCTTTTATCACGAGCAAAATCTTGCAACAGTTGCAGACTCGTAACATGGAATACTCGTATTTCGGGAAGCTCCTACGTCGGAGATCCACTGTATAAAAATGCCAGAACTTTCTTAACTGTATGACCGTGTCATTTATTTGTGTCATTGTAAATGAAAACACGAGATAAACTAACTAGTTTTATTTGTAAACAGTAAACAAATCACCAAATGATTTCATAAACCTAAACTCTAGTGTAGATCACAATCGATGACTTAAAAAATTTAAACAATTCTCCTGGGGGAGGGGGGGGTTAATAATTGGTCCTTTATAAATAGATACTTGAATTTCCAATTACAAACATTGGCTCATATACAGTAATTACTAATGTAATTATAGTTTGACAATCCATATACGTCATTACAGCCCAAACAAAGCTCAACTAGGCGTTGAGCTTTAAGACCTTCAAGGAGTGTTCATGCGATTTTATACGTACATTCATCACGTGTTGTGAACTCATTTAACACATAACAATCGGAATGTCCTGATTAATTCTAAGATTAATTTCATTTTATATATTTATACATATAGCTGTCATTCAACTCTAGATCAATATTTTCATAGTTTTATCTTCTTCTACTTCTTTTTCTTTGGGCTGTGTCCCTTTTTTCAGGGGTTGCCACAGCGTATCAGCGTTTTCCATCTCTCCCTGTTCTCTGCAACTTCTACTCTGACTCGAATCTGCATGTCCTCCCTCACTGCATCCATATATCTCCTCTTTGTCTCCTACCTGGTAGCTCCATCTCCAACATTCTTCTACCAGTGTATCCACTGTCCCTCCTCTGCACATGTCCAAACCATCTCAATCTGGCTCCCCTAGCTTTTTCTCCAAACCCTTTCTGTCTGTGTTGTCCCTCTAATGACCTCATTCCTGATCCTGTCCATTCTTGTCACTCCTAAAGAGAATCTTAGCATCTTTAACTCTGCCACCTCCAGCTCCACCTCCTGTCTTCTGCCTATTGCTACTGTCTCTAAACCATACATCTTGGCTGGTCTCACCACCGTCCTGTAAACCTTTCCCTTCACCTTAGCTGACACTCTTCTATCACAGATCACTCCTGACACTTTTCTCCAGCTGTTCCATCCTGCCTGTACTCTATTCTTCACCTCTCTTCCACAGTCTCCAATGCTCTGAGCAGTTGATCCTAAGTACCTAAACCCCTGCACCTTCACCACCTCTGCTCCTTGTAACCTCACTATTTCACTGTTCTAGCTTTCGTTTACACACATGTACTCTGTCTTGCTGCGACTGACCTTCATTCCTCTTCTTTCTAGTGCAAACCTCCACCTCTCTAGCTTCTCTTCTAGCTGCTGCCTACTCTCACTACAGATCACAATGTCATCTGCAAACAACATAGTCCATGGGGACTCTTGTCTGACCTCATCTGTCAATCTGTCCATCACCACAGCAAACAAGAAGGGGCTCAGGGCCGATCCTTGATGTAGTCCCACCTCCACCTTGAAGTCTTCTGTCCTTTCTACAGCACACCTCACCACCGTTGTAGTATTCTCATACATGTCCTGCACAAACCTAACATACTTCGCTGCCACTCCTGACTTCCTCCCTTGTCTCTCTGTCGTATGGCTTTTCTAAATACACATCCATCCATTTTCATCTGCTTATCCACTAACGGGTCACGGGGGCAGCAGTCACCACCCAAATCACATTGCAACGTACCAACACCCCCTAAACCTTCCTGCGGGTGGTGAGTCCACTGGAAGGTACCAACCGCCCTAACCGGGATTCGAACTTGTCCTGGAGGGGAACCCTGGGATTCCACACCAACGACAGAGACATTGCCTCTGGGCCAAAGCGCCATATAATAATTTTCATAGTTTTATAATTTATACATTTCTTAAGGCATGCATTAAGTTACTCAATTGTAACACCTTGACTTTAGCGAGGTATGTACAAAGAGCCCCAGCCGTAACAGCTTGGTAAATAGTGGAGTTGCAGCTTTCAGCAAGGTATTTACTGTTGAAGTATGTATTTAGCCAAAAATTTTAAATTTCAGTGCATCCTTACAAGTCATTGATATAGGCAATAATTTTGAGACTGACCCAAAGATCATGTTCCGCATAGTCAAAGAGCAGCCAAACCTTTCTGTCACTGTGGGACAGAAAGACTTTCTGTAGGGCGATTACATTTGGATGTTTCAGTTCTCGTAGCAGCTGAAAGACAGAAAAAGAGCAAATGAGCAGGCTGTGAAGAAGTTTCACATTCAGTGTAAACTTGTTTGTACAGATTGAAACAAAACTTCTTTCCTTCTTTCCTTTAAACGACTGACCAGGGGCGAGGATGGAATGAATGAATGAATGAAACATATTACAACACTACATATTATAACACTACATATTGTTCAACGCTGTAAATGTCTGATCGACCACGAACATGCAGAAGAAAATGTACAGGGTGGGGCTGAATGAGGTGAGGTTAATGACTCATAGTGCCGACACCTACAGGCACAATGATAAATAGGTGGACGCTGCCGCAATACCGATAAACCTCATTCTCCAAAGGAACTAAACCTCCTGAACAGGTTAATAGGATTGGAATGTTTCAAATGAACAATGAACTAGGAACATTAATGGAATAACTTGCACAAGATATGTAGAACATTGTATAACATCTCCGCAACGAGGGGATGTTCAGGTGTCATTGGAAATTTGAGAATCTGACAGTTATGGCAACAAAACACAGCGTGTGGACCGGTTACTATATATTTGTGTCATGCAGGAAAGAAATGTATTTGATTTTATGCAAGGAGCATTTTATGTCATATATTAGACTATTTTTATAGTTCACCTTGTTATATACATTTTGTATGTTGCTTAAACTTATAACCGAGGGTTCGTTTACATTAGCCGAGGCTTTGTTTACATTAGCCGCTTCTACACCATACACTGTATTGGGCTACATTTTTGTCCTTTTATTCGTGTTGTTTTTTTTTTTTTTTTTGCTCTTTATTTTGGGTCACAACAGAGTAAACAAATTATTTGATTGTCTCAACTTAGTGAAGCTAATGTCATATTAACTGGAGTAGCAACGCAACTGTTGGAAAAATGCTCCTTGAAAATAATCAAATACATTTCTTTCCTGCATGACAAAAATATATAGTAACCGGTCCACACGCAGTGTTTTGTTGCCATAACTGTCAGATTCTCAACTTTCCAACGATACCTGAACGTCCCCTCGTTGTGGAGATGTTATACAATGTTCTAGGCCCGCCATTTTGTGATACCTGTCTCTGATTATAATGTTACCACGGTGTTAACGACACAGCTCCCTCAGTACATCGCAGATGTTTTTCTGATTCCAATCTTGCGAGAGTTTCACTATATCGCAGTATTGTGCGGTAAATATTTTGTAATTTACAAAATTTTCAGAATTTTTGTTATAAAACATTTTCTAACCTAAGAAAAGAACGCAACTATCGCGATAGGAGAGGGATCACTGTATAATATTTTGAAACCAGGCTGACAGAGATCGTTTTTAAATATGAATTTGGTCAAAAATTGGTTAAATAATAATTTTTTATACAATGTTGCTATTTGCTATATGCTAACAAAACCCTTAACTGTGTAACTTACAGCAATTTCCCTGCAGGCAGACATTGATATCCCAGTGCCTTCTATTTGTTTTAGTGCATACTCTTTCTCGTCAATTCTGTGAAATGAAGAAGAAAGTGAAATTAGTTAACCGTGACAGAACAACAATTTCCAACCTACTGTTATTCAACATATGAACTCACTTTAAATAGCGTTTACGATCATGTTTCTAAACAAGTAGTATGTGTTATTGCTGTGGGATTGAAGCAAAAAGATATAAATATACATATTATCAGGTTCTCAATAGTATTTCAATTCGCGGGGGTGTGGGTCGGAGGAGGGGTTGGGGAGTCGTAAAATCATTCTCGTCCCTAAAAGGGGGAGGGGGTGTGGCTTAAAAATAAGTATTAACAAAATAAAAGAAGTCAGAGCCATTAAGTATGAGAGGTCAATCCTAAATACTGTATTTTCCGGACTATAAGTCACACTTTTTTTCATCCTTTGGCTGGGCTTGCGACTTATATACAGTATATCGCGAAACAAACCATTCCAGATTCATCATATCATCTTTGCGGTGTCACATAGGAATAGTATTTCACCAAAGTGAGCAGGGGGCAGCAGTGTGTGGGGACGGTGCCAGGCTCAGAGTACCTCAGTGGCAACTGGTGGACTCGAACCTGAAGCCTTCCGGAGCCAAGTCCGCTTCTGTAACCACTAAGCCACGACTTCAAAACTCCTTTTAAGTCTGATTCTGGCTGAAAATAATATATAGTTGGACGGCAGTTTATTGTCCAGTATCCTGCCAATTTATCATAAGTGCCAGAAAGGCCCTTTGCCATAGTGGCAGACATTTCTCCATTCTGGCTGAAAATAATATATAGTTGGATGGCAGTTTATTGTCCAGAAAGGCCCTTTACCATAGTGGCAGACATTTCTCCTCCACTGCTGGCCCATTGCCATGGTTATGTAAAGCCATCCTCAGGTCTCCCTGCCATAGAAGACATAGCCAGAGCCCAGAGTGGGGCTTATCTGGGCTTAACTTTACCATAGTAAAGTTAGGGAATGTAAAGAAAGTGTAAAGAATGTCCTTGCACTTGAATAACTTGAAAAACAAACATTAGCATTAGCTCAATACTTTCAACATTGTAAACTGGTTATTTTTGGTAATTAGGTAGTGGTTATAAGTTATCTCAGTAGCCCTTACCTAACATTGATCTAAAGTTGGGCTCACCAACATGGTGCCCTGGGGCACTAGCTAGCCCCCATGTACTACCTAAAGTGCCCATGGGGGTATGTTCTAAAAATAAAACTAGTCAACAAGAGGGTCAAAAATTGTACTGTTACTGTGCTTTTTGAATCAGAAAACTTACAATGATATTCAAATGGGCACAACGATGATAGTAAGAAGAGTGTCTGCCATTTTATGTTCCGGAACTAATTATTATTAGATTGTTTGGGAAGTCTGTATCAAACAAGTGTTATTATTAGTGTTATTAGTGTTAGTGCATTCCCCAGGTCTCCAGTGACATTTGCAGTGCAAGGGCAGAGGTCTGCTTTAAACATTGATTTTTCGAAAGGTCAATGTTTAATTTGAATTTTTTTGGCATTAACATTTTGCATACATACTGATGTTTTCTTTTCTATAACTGGAAGGTGTGTTATGTAAAATTTTAGTCAAATATTTGCACCTTTTGTCCTTTTTGTTTTTAAGTTTCCGTTTGCTCTAAGGCTGCGAACAAAATGGTTAAAAAACAAAATACCGCAATTTCTGGACTATTGAGAGCACCTGAATATAAGCCACACCCACTAAATTTAATAGAAAAAATATAATTGTACATATTTAGGCCGCACTTCTCTATTAGCTGCAGTTGTCCATGAAAGTTTTGGGTTTTTTTTTTCCCCTTTTAAAAAAGCACATTTGTTTAAGTCGCAGGGTTCAAAGCGTGTGAAAAAAGTAGCGGCTTATAGTCCGGAAATTACGGTAGCCTTAAAAATGGTTACTTAAGTTGTACGTGTGTTTTGCACACTATGGAAAAATGGTGGTAGGAAGGTAGAATGGCAGGTGTCTCCATACAGTGCTCGCTGACTACTGACATTTGACTGCAGTAAAATGTCAACATTAGTCAATAAGTCAAGTGACAGTTGATATTTTACTTAAATTACTTGAACTAAGTGTTCCTTTTACCCTCACTTTAATCTCAATCACATTGTAGTTAGTATTTAAGACAATTTACACATATTTCCTTGCCAAACATTTCAATCTTTGTCAGTTTTAGAAGTAATAATAGGGTATGACAATCAGTATCAGTTTGTGTCGTTCCTTGAAATTAAAAGACAAAAATCTAACATGGGGACAATTCACTTCATACAATAGTGAAGTCTGTAAAGGCTTAGGTCTCGTGTTAGCCTCGTTGTACAGTGTGTACGTGTGTTATTTCAATGTGGCAACTGAAAGACAAAAAATGCTTCCTCCACACGAGAAGTTATGACCAAGTGGACACGAGTCGCTTTAGTCATTTCAACTGAAAGCAACTGGACACGCGTGAATACTATGGCGTCTAGTGATATAGGAATAGGTTTACGTGGTTGTTATTTCACCGCATAGGATAGCTGTATTTGACAAATATGCCCTGTGCAGCGAAAAGGCCAAGTGAAAGTGCGTGCTGCTTCGGGCAAATAATGAAATTCGAAGAGACCTATTGGGAGACCGGAAGATAGATTTGGAGCGAGAGTCGAAAATGATATGACAGAAAAATAGAGGCAGACGGGAGACTGGTGCCTTTATTGACACGGTAGAGAACATAAAAAACCAAAAAACTTAGCAATAGCATTCGCTGCTATCGTCCTGTTGTTATTCTTGGGGGATGAGGGGGTGTGTGCACGCGCGCGTAACATGAAAACAAAAACACAAGACACACGGGATCCCGCTTCGAAGAGTTTTCGAATGTTACGCCCCGCTCGACCCACAGCCGACATGTATGCCTTCGGTTATGTGGCCAAAATACATGTAGTAGCCACATTAGGTGTGTGTGTATAAAAAAAATATCTTCCACATATCTCTTACCCGTCTTTGCGCTTTGCTTTATAAACGTGCCCGTAGGTGCCTCGACCCACTTTGCAACCTTCATATTCGAACAGATCCTCCACTCTCTCCCTCTCGGCAGCCAGCTTTGTTTTGAAGTCGTGATCCATTTTAAGCCATAAATGCGCATTTATTTGCGATTATATAAAATATTACTTATTACGCACATTAATTAAATAATCTAGTCGTTTTTTATTCCCCCACCATTTCCTTGTTTGGGATTTTGGTCTGTTCCACTTAATGTTCACTGGCTCGTTGACGTTTCTAATTGGCGCGTGTGCACCCTGGGTAGCGTAGTTTTTTTGGAGGCCGTGTGACAGGCTCCGCCGGTCTAGTGGCTACGCGTGAGAAACTACAAACCGCGTTTCTGGGTTTTTTGTTTTTTTTTTACACCATGCCAACTTGATAAAGTTTTGCTGTCCGCAGAGCTCCCAGTTTCAAATTTCACAATGAGGAAAGTCGTAACCTGAAGATAAATAGACAGTGTGATTCATTAAACAGTTCTGAATTGCACGTTTACGCTTAAATTATAGTTAAGCGTCAATTTAAATGTACATATTTTTTGTAAAAAACAAATACGTTTTAATTATTTACAAGGCATACATGTGTTTATTCTAAGACTTTAACGAATTAATACGATTATGTTTGTGTCTAAAAAAAGAACATAATTTATGTTTTCAGGCATGGCTAGCATTTTGAAGGTCACCTTGTCCATATTTAGATGTGGCCGTCAACTACTTACTTAGCAGTTATTGACAACATTTACAAATAATAATAATAATAATATGTCAAAAATCCTTTAAAAACTTTGCCCTGACTAGGAGAGTAACTCTGTTTGGGAATAGGTCTATGTCGCATATTGTGTGAAATGCACTTAAGAGGAAATACACAATACACAGCACACACACACACGTGTAGAGTACTGTATATAATGGGTTGGTTTAAACGTCGATTTTTCCTGTGTGCTGAATGTAGCTTAGACGTCAACACAAATTGTGACTAATGCTTATTAGGGCTTTTGGTTCTGCTTTGATCTACGACGTCATCACAAGTTAATCTAATCGGGCCCTCCGAATAAAAGTAAGTAGAATAAAGCCAGAATTGCACTGTCAATCGAAAACGACAGTCGTCTACAACACTGTGCTTTAAATTGCCGCTGAAAATAAATTTGATGGTATTTTACGAAGGGTAGGAGGAAGTGGAAGTGGATAGAGGCAGGCAACAAAAAAAAAACATTGGTCTGACCAATGGCGTCGCGAAACGTAAGATTTACGTAGTCGCGGGTCCCATATAAAACAACCGCGGCTGCTGTACTGAGTGCTTTACACAGTATGGCCGGCGATATTAGCTAGCATTCACTTACGGTATTCTCTGTAAAAGGGAAGACGGTAACTATAAAAAAAAAACACCAACACCTGGATTTGCTTAAAGGACTGTACCTCAAGATATTATAAGGTTAAGAGGAAAGATTCGTTAAGCTGTAAACGTTATTACCGACGTTTATTTTTTTTTTGCTGAGTGTCTGTTGCCTCACGATGGACGAAAACAGTGCACATTTCTTCGAAGGGACCGAGAAGCTTCTGGAGGTGTGGTTCTCCCGGGAGGATGAAACTAAAGGAGCAGGGGACCTTCGCACCATCCCGAGGTGAAAATCATTCGATAGTGTCCGTGTTCGCTGTTAGCTCTCGTGCATATGGAAGCGAGGCCAGCTACACGAACCTTTTTTTTTTTTCCTTCATTGAACACAAGTGACATTTCAATCAAAAATATGCACCCAAACGGGTATTTTTAAGTGGTGTCAACTCCTCTATAGTAACTCTTATGGATTCTGGGCGAGCACGCTAAGCTAGGAGTCAAATTTCTGTCAGTAGCGCACATTACTAGGCAGCTATAGCTTTCAGCTTAACTGGAAAAATGGCCACCTCCCCCTTTCCCCGTGGCACATCTGATCTTATTCATTCCTTGCTCCGGGTTAGTAAAATGGTTCCCGTACTGGTAAATGACAAGCACTCAATCCCTTAGTATCGGGGGAGTGAAGCCGTAAGTTTTTACTAAAGGCGCTGTCAAGCAAGGGGATTAGCAACCGCCTCTAAACCTGCTATTCTTATTGCCCCCCTTGGAGAAACTACTGCATTTTGTGCAATCAAAACTGCTTTTGTCCGAATTACTTTAACATAACAATTTCAACTGAATGGCGTGAGCGCAACTAGTGTGGCTTTCTGCTCCCTGCATTAATTTAGGGTAGAATTGTTTTTTTTTTTAATTACTTTTAATTAAAAGTTTAACTTCGTAGCTTTGCAGACACCACTGTTAGATAGAAGATCATCAGAAGTCCGTTTGAACGGTGTCATTTCTTTTATTATTTTGCTCCGAAGACGGAGATTTCGTTAGAAAGTATCTAGCATGTGGTCGATGTCGGTCTCCTCGTGTCGCTGCAGCTGCCCTCTCCAACCCTCACATGATGTACGCAGTAGGGCAAAGCCGCTGAAACTCGAGCGTTCGGTCGACCGTCGTGTTAGTTGTGCTGTAGGTCGTGCGTGCATTGTAAAATCAGTTATCACCATTTTACAATGTGCGGTGATTCGATGATATCTAATTGCGCATTTCACGTTGTTACGAGTATCTTAACATCCCGTGTTTCCATAATATGCCCGTCATCCCTGTCACGTTTCCAGACATGTTGGCATTCCCCTCCCCTTTACTCTGATTGGCGAGGACCTCTGTAGCACCTTCATCGGCCACAAAAAGCCTGTAAAAATGTGAGGTAACCTCCGTTAAGATGGTGAACGAATCACTCAATCGTACCTCAATCGTATCTACGCTTTAAATAACACATTTTTCTTCGCGGTCAGTAGTCATCTTAATCTGTTTGCGTTTTGCCTTTAGTGGTGTGTTTTTGTTACTTAAGATGACACTAACATTATGTGACACTTGCAGTTGCAAGGCCTGACATTAACCTTTTGCATACATACTGATGTTTACTTTTATGCAAGTGCAAGGTGTCATGTCACTTTGTAGTCAAACATTTGCACTCCCGTGGCCATTTGTTTTAAAGGCGTTGACGCTGTGACCAAAATGGTTAAAAAAACTAAAACAGAATAGTCTTAAGAATGGTAGGAAGGCAGAATAGCAGGTGTCTCTGAACAGTCCTCGCTCACTACTGACATTTGACTCCAGCAAAAATGTCAACGCGAGTCAAGTGACAGTTGATGAATTACTTACAATATTTGAACATAGTGTTCCTTTACCCTCGCGTTAATCTCAAACCAGCCATACCTGCATGACATTTTAGTTAGTATTTAAGACGGTTTACACGTAATAAATTGTAGTTACATGTATTTATTTATTTTATTTTTTTTACTGAGTTGTTACAGTCAGACCTCTAACTCTTGATCTTTTTCAAATTTCACGTAGGTTTGAATGGGACAAACTTTTGGAGAATGTGCATTGTTTAATCATCAGTGTGACAAAGACTGATAAGCAGGAAGCTTATATACTCAGGTGAGTGTCAACCATGTTATAATTTTTCCCTTTTTCCTGTAAAGGATAACAATATTACGTTGCAAATTGTCCTTTTGTAAATGCTTATGGCAGGAACTCAAGTGGTTCACTTGTCAGTACAAGAGTTTAAAACCAGTTTTTTTTTTTTTTCCTTAATTAACTCCCTCACACAGTGAGAGTAGCATGTTTGTCTCCAAGAGACGTTTCATTTTGAAGACATGCGGAACCACCCTCTTGTTGCAAGCACTGGTCCCATTGCTGGAATTGGCCAGAGAGTACTGTGGGTTTGATGCCATTGAGGTGAGACAATGTGACGCTTATACTTCATGTTACTAATTGTACTGATAAGACTGTTTTGTTTTGTTTGTTTGTTTTTAATGGGGTGTCTGTTTGGTTTTTTTTTTGTTTTGTTTTTGGCAGAATTTCTTCTACTCTCGCAAAAACTTCATGAAGCCAACTCATCAAGAATTTCCTCATCGGAACTTTCAAGAGGAAGTTGACTTCCTCGGGCAGATTTTTCCAAGTATGTAAAAGTACCTGTTATAAATATATAAAAGTATAATCACGATAAGATAGTGGAGCTGCGAAAAAGAATGCAGGGTGTCCTCGACTTTACTTGGAGTTTCGCTCCTATGGTGAGACATAACTTGGTTTTTGCCGTAATACTGAACTTGCATAATGTACATCGGTACTCACCCACAGGTAATATCATAATCTATGACGCAAAAATATCAGAAGTCTTACTTTGGCATGGGAGCCATAATGAAGGGCAGAAAGTTCTCAAAAAACAAATGCAAATGAAAGAAAGCGATTTTAGCAAAATCCAATGTATGGTGCACATATAAAAAAAAAAATGTAAATGAAGCCATTTTCCACGATTTATTCTGTTCCACTTGTTAAAACTCAAACCAGTTGGTGAGTTTAAGCGGGGTGCGTTAGAATGATGGAACAAAGTGATATAACCGTGAAACGTCTTACGTGGAGGAAATCTTAAACCTCCCCCTGTACCTTATGGACTCTCCTTGGCTAACAGATGGCTTAAGGTTAGCGCAGACATGGATGAACTTTTTGACTCGTGGGCCTACAGGTCTTGAAATTGATGGCTTAAGGTTAGCGCAGACATGGACGAACTTTTTGACTCGTGGGCCTACACGTCTTGAAATTGGGAAGGGCGGGGGGCGGGTCAGGAGCAGATAGATGAGAGTTTGTGTGAACTAAGATAAATTAAATGTAAAATGGTTTTAATTTTTCCACGCCATCTATTGGGGAGCTGTGGGTATTGCAGGGAAAGGGCTAGGGTAAGGGTATAGTTAGTATAATGATAATATACACTGCCTGGCCAAAAAAAAGTCGCCACCTGGATTTAACAAAGCAAATAGGTACGAGCCTCCTATTGGATAATTACTGCATGGGCGATTATCTTTCAGCTGGCAACAAGTTATTTAACCCCAACTGGTGCAATGAGTTGCTTCTCATTTCCTAAACAACCATGTCGAAAGACACAT